GTTGGAATGAAATATAGCAAGACTTGCATTGCCTACTAAGAAAGTTAGTAGCCAATAGGCAATATGTAAGTAAGAGTTTCATTTAATCTTTTGTGAAGGGACCTTTAAAAACACAAATGATGAAAGTCTCATGAATGAGAAGATGAAAATCTGTTTGCATTTAAAGACAAGTGTTTAGAGTTTTTTTTAACTTCCAAATTTAGTTCTAATTCTGTGTTTAGGTTAATTTAATATGAACAACATAAACTCTTTAATTGCAGTAACAGTGATGATAATTGTTATTACTGCTTTACTGGCCTTATTCAGGCTTACAGTAAGAAGAATATAATTCCCTGTAATCTCAGTCAATCTGATGCACTCTGGTATTGAGAAAAAGGTCTTTTTGGCAGCTATATGCAACACAGATTTTGCTGTAAAAATGCTATTGTTGTAAGATATGTTTTAAAATTTTATTTTAATTTCTTTGTTTGCTAGTGGGGGAGTGAGAGAGAAAGATGCTATTCATGATGATGTAATAAGATCTCTCATCTTATGCCTAGAGACGAGGATACATTATTTATAAGTATGAGTAATCAGTTAGTGAAGTTAATATGAATTCTGTGAAGTATTCAATGAGTTGATTGTTGATGAGAAGTTAGATCATTGTCAGAAAGGTTATTCAGTATTAGACAAAGTCATCACATCTGTTTTGCCTTTCAGTTACTTGATGAGCTACATTTTTATGAATCAAAGTTATGTAAGTTAGATGTATCTCCACAGTGTAGGAATATGTGTTGAAATATTTTGTGTTCTTAGGCCTACAACTTACCTCAAAGTGAAAGTTGCTTATAGGAAATGTTAAGGAAGAAATGAACTAATATTGTTATGTAGACTGGACTTCAAATTTATTTTCATCAAATAATTAAAAAGAATATGCTCAACAAAAAACATGTTACAATACTGCTGTTAGAAATGGTATTATTTTAGTAAAAATAAAATAGAACTTTAACTATAAACTTCCGATATGGTA